ACAAAAGAAAGTAGACGGATCATCCACTTATTTGAGTAATTATCACTTTGATCCAAAACAATTTAGAAGAGATCTTGCTTCTATGATAATAATTCATAAGTTTTCACTTTCTATAGTAGACCATTTATGGTTTAGAGTATATTCTGAAGGCCTCCAACCTTTATTAAAGGTTCCTAGTCGGAACATAATAAAAGGTGACATTATCAAAATATATCAGAATGAAAAATTGAAGACTACGAGACTCTTAAAGAAGATTGGAAGAAGAATTGCTTTAACAACAGACATGTGGACAACTAGCAATCAAAAGAAAGGGTTTATAGCTATCACAGCTCACTACACTACTAATGATTGGGATACGCAAAGTTGCATATTAAGGTATAATTTTTGTGATCATTGTATAATATATTCATTTAGTAATTATTTGCATTATTTCAATATTTTTTTTTATATATGTATATAACTTATTTTTACATTAATAGGTTTGTATATGTGGAATGTCCACATACAGTAGAAGCTCTATCTAAAGTGTTGGTTGAATGCATGCTAGATTGGAATATTGATAGAAAGTTATCTACCATCACTTTGAATAATTGTAGTACAAATGACTTTCTTGTTAGTTTGTTACTAAACAAACTTGATTGTTCTTCTCTTATACTTGATGGTCAGTTGTTTCACATGAAGTATTGTGCACATATTCTTAATTTAATTACTCAAGATGGTTTAAATATTCTTTGAGATGGCATAGAGAAGGTTAGAAGTAGTGTTACTTTTTGGACAGCTACACTTAAAATAGAACGAATCTTTAAAGAAGCAACACGTCAAATCAAAGTTTTCATTACAAAGAAACTTGTACTTAATTGCAAAACAAGATGGAATTCCACTTATCACATGCTTGTTGTTGCATTGGCTTATAAAGATGTTTTTATTTCGTTTGAAAAAAAGAGAGCATATGTATACATGTATCCCTACAACAAATGACTGGCAAATTACTAAAGAAATTTGTAGTAGGTTGAAAGTCTTTAATCGTGTAACTAAGATGTTTTCTAGGACACAATATCTTACAACAAATATTTTCTTCCCATTTCTTTTTGAAATAAAGTTATCTCTGCAACAATGGCAAATTTGTTCAATTGAGACTATTAGAAATATGGCTACAAAAATGGTAACCAAATTTGAGAAATATTAGTTTGTTATGCATGGAATAATGGGAATTGCCATTTTTTTGGATCCAAGATATAAATTAAAGTTGTTAGAGTACTTCTTTCCCAAGCTCTATGGAAGTTCATCTTCTTTTCAAATTAATAATGTAAAGAAATTATGCTACTTGTTGTTTGAAGATTATCAAGCTAAAGACATGGGAATAGTAGAAAGTTCAGCTGAAAAGTCTAATGAGATGGAAATGAAATTGGATATACTTAATGTTAACAATTTTCTATAAGTAATTATGATTCATTTGTTAAATATACAAATGATATGAAATTAAAGTTTGAGTTGGACATCTACTTGGAAGAGAAGGTTTTGCCTAGAAGTGCTAGTTTTGATATCCTTAGGTGGTGGAAATCAAATGGGATCAAATATCCAATATTGCAAAAAATTGCCAAGGATATTTTGGTTATCCCAATTTCATCTGTTGCTTTAGAGTCTGCTTTTAGCATAAGAGGTAGATTATTGAGTCCTCATCATTCTCAACTTCATGAGGATACTTTAGAAGCACTCATGTGTGCACAAAGTTAGCTAAAACATGAAAATAAAGGTATTAAATACTCTATTAATATATTTATTTAATTAAATATTTTTGTTAATTTTAATTTGATAGCTTAATTATTGATTTTCTTATTATGTACTTATATGTTTTAGTTTCTATTGGCATTGCTGGACCAAAGCAATATGTAAACTTAAAAGATAAACGTTTATAGTCATTTGAAGAGTCTGATTCTAATGAAAAGGTAAAATAGCCTAATTATATTATTTTGACTTTACAATAAATAATTAACTAATTTTAATTTTTTAAGTCTTATAGAGTGACAGTACAAAACTCTAAAGTTTATGAGTTGGTTGTTTTACAAGATCTTGAAGATTATGTGTGCAGTTTCGCTTTTGATTTTTAAGTACTTTAGTTTAGAAAGTTAATGTATTAAGATAAACTTAACACTTATGATCTTTGAATATTTATTTTTTATCTATAATTGGAACTTTATTCAATAAAATTATATAAGCATATTTTTTTATAACTGTTTTTTTTTCTTAGACATGCGCGGGTAATAGAGACAAGTATGGGTATGCGGGTACCCAGAGGGTACGGGTACTAGAACTAAAAGTACTATTCACATGGGTATGGGGCTAGGTAAATGTATTTTTTTAAATGCGGGTATGGGGATGAGAACTATAGTACCTTACCCTACCCATTGCCATCTCTAGTAGTTAATGGTATACTATCTTATTTCCTTTTTGTTTTCTTCTTCTCATTTCTTTTTCTTTAAGACTCAGATCTCTTTCTTAAAAAAAATTTTGCTCTCTCTCCAAAAACTAGTTCCCTTCTCTCCAAAAAAATCCTTCTTCAAATCCCTTACTTGTACTCTTATATTGATACATTTAGAGTTTTTTTTACAAAATGTCAAAGGTCCTAAGTTTTTCCTTTTTCATGCTTAAAGCTGGTTTTTAATATTGGGGTATAAACATGTATAGTGCAGGCTTCTATTTTCGAGAAGCAAAAGTTTTTCAAAAATCTTTCATTTTTTGTAAAACAAATTTATTATTATTTTTTTATATATTTTAAAAAAAATTGGAGGCAAAAATTGGTTTTCACACCCTGAACCTTAGATGCCCAATTTTGCTGGTCAGTAGAAATCACCTTTTATTGTAAAAGGTCCTTGAGGCTTCGTTGGTCAGAAAATACCATGACCTTCCTTCCAATAAGGTAATGTCGCCAATGATTAATAGCTAAAACCAGAGCCATAAGTTCTTTCTCAAAAACAAATATGGAGAGTTGACCATTAGAGAGAGCTTTGCTGAAAAATGCTATTGGCTCCTTCATATGCATTAAAACAACCCTTAAACCTCTTCCAGAAGCATCACATTCAATGACAAATTCCTTTGAAAAATTAGGTAGTCTCAAACCTGGAGGAGAGGTTACAACTTTCTTCAATATTTCAAAAGCTTCTGCAGCACTTGGTCTCCATAAAAACGCATCCTTCTTAATGAGCTTAGTCAATGGCTTGGCAATCTATAACACTCTCAATTTTGTGGCTTTTGTATGAAAAAATAGTAGTGTTGGTGCAAGGTATCTTGCTGTAGCGACTAGAAAGGTGTGTGTCGCTGTAGCGAGGAAGAGCATCCAGAATCAAGTTCTTTGATACTTTCTTGGTGTAGTTAGAATAATAGATAGCAAACAAAAATTTTTGTCTAATTTTTTTGTTGACAGAGAGGAGGGCTCATTGTAGCGAGTAAAAAGTACATTTTGTAGCGAGTAAAAAAATACATTTTGTAAAAGTTGGATTAAGTACATTTTAGGATATCCCTTAACACATGTATTGTGTTACATCGAAAGGTGTACTCATAATACATGTATTGTAATACATTAAGTTGTGTAATCAAGACTCACGTATTATGACACGTTGATCTATACAAAGGATATAGAGAAAAATGAGAATGAAATGAGAAATGCTGAGAAAGAGAAAGAGAAATGGAATAAGTATATATAATCACATAGATACACTGGAAGTGTACAAGTTGGGGGCGATTGAGATATCTAGGAGAAATGAAGGTTATGGATGTCTTTCCATGATTGTGCAAAAATTAATAAAAATAGAGAAAAAAGATAACACATGTCTCACACTCATCTCCTGACCTAGAGTTCAAGGTATACATTAAAAACTCTAATTTCCTTTTTAATTTCAGTAATCCTAATTCTAAGTAAGTCTTTTTCTTTAAGAGAGTTTAGAAAACCTCATCAACAAGTATCATGTATGTTATTTTCATATTTTATATACAAAACAAATAAAACAAATCACAAATAAATAAATATTTAATATTAATAAATAATTCAAGCATTTTAATATTATGACAACAAATATAATAATAAAGTGAATCAACATATATATCTCATAATAATAATTAATGAAAGTGTAAAACTTAAAATCCTCTTACTAAATATCAAAAAGCTAATGCCCATGTAAATCTATAAACACTTTTTTTTAACACACTGTTAATTAAAAATTATAAAAATGTGTGAACTTTTGTTTACTTTTTTTCCATATTTTTGTCATTTTTAATAGTAATCATATTAAAAGTATTTACCACAAACAATATATCTTATTGTCAATAATATTTTATAAAATTTGACATTTAAATAATTCAATTTTTATTAAATAAGTAACTAACAATTTATATAAAATTAAAAGACCCACTAAGAAATTTAGATACTATGAGCATTTAATTTAAAATTAAAATTATTCTAAATTAATATGGCCGAACAAAAAATGTTAACGATGAACAAGCAGGACAAGATTACTCAAGATTTTAAGTTTGGTATTTTTTTTATTTTTTTTATGCTTTTAATCATCCAGGTTTAAAGAATATTTTCAGCATACTTTAATTGTATTAATCTTTGGCAAGAGCATGAAAAGACGATTACACTTTACTTGATTGATCAGTTAGTTTATCTTATCGTGACATTTTCACATTTTACAGTTACAATAATAAACCTTCAAATAACTTATTCGTGTAAATTTCATATAACTATTTTTGCACTAAATAGCACCGTTTACCTTGATCGGCAATGCTATTTTAACACCGATTTAAGACTCTATCGTAAATATTTTATATAAATTAAAAAATAACGTTGATCCACTTTTATTACACGATGTAGAGTTTAGCCCGAACCGCTCCATGGTATGAAACGTGTCAAAGCCATACTGTTCTCCTTCTCAATAGCACGACACTTGTTCAACCTTAGCAAAGCCAACATATATAGAAAGAATCCACTAATTAGCTTTAACTATTATAGCATAATACATATAAAATTTCACCAAAAAAACAGAGCATCTATCATGGCGAGTAACATCCAATTCAAGTTGATTTCACCAGCAATTGATCACAGCCAAGAGAGTGGGAAACTGCCAAGGTATTGCACACAAGAAGGCTTAGGCACAAAATGGGACATTTCTCCGCCACTTGAATGGCATAACGTGCCTCCCAAAACAAAGAGCTTGGCCCTTCTGGTTCAGGACATTGATGCCGTCGACCCAATGGGGCGCGTGGTGCCACTCGCCCACTGGGTGGTCGTGAACATTCCTGTCACCGTGAAGGACCTTCCTCAAGGGTTCTCTGGGAAGGAAGACGAAGTGGGTGCTGAGTATGGTGCCGTTGAAGAAGGGGTTAACGATTGGAAGGTGCGCGTGTGGCGTGGTCCCAAATTCCCTAACTATGATAATAGGTTCCAGTTTAGGCTCTTTGCTCTGGATCAAGACATGCACTTTGATAACCAGGTTCTACAACTACCCAACTATATATTATATTCATGGAAAATGTTTTATTTAGCCATTGCTTTTTAATATTGAGTGTGTGATACTGGTTTAAAAATTTAATTTGTCATTGCATCTTTATTTTGTATGATGTCATTTACTTTAGAGTGGTTGGTCTAAACTATAAGAAAAATAAAGTAAAAATAGATGAAATGATTTACTTTTTGCAAAATTGGGAATTAGTAGATATTCTTTAAATTCTAGAAATTAAAATATCTGAGGTATATAATTTTGAAGATTAATGTGTTTTTTGAAATAAATATAAAAATGTCTATGTTCGAAATATTGGCAGGTGACAAAAGAGAAGCTGTTTGACGCAATAGCAGGGCATGTAGTGGGAGAAGCCGTGTTCACTGCCACTTTTTGATATTTGTGATCTTAATGGAAGCTTCATCTGTGGAGATTCCGCGTATAAATAAAAGCTCCACAAGTTCGGTTTCTTTTTTAAGTTTGTTATTATTTTCCATGTATTTTTATTTAGTACAAGACTTACACACAGTATTATATGCTTTTGATGTTTTTTAATTAAAATTAGAATTTTATTTAAGTAATATATGCAATAAATGTCAGTATTAAAAGTTAGTACATGCAATTAAAGCAAAACTTTAATATTAATCAGAGAGTAACATCTCTGAAGGATTTTTTTTAAAGCAAGCAGGAATTAATCTTCGCATGGTCTCTGATTTTGAAAAAACAAAACAAAAACACATAATACAGTACTTAAGTTTTATACTTTGATTCATGTTAAATAAATTATAGCGCATAAAGAAAAATTACACCATATTTAATGTTTGATTAAACTTGAATTCGATCAGCCATTTAACGGGAATGGAATTTCCAAATTTTACGAATAATGTTGCATCATGTATTTCTGTGCTTAATAGAAAACTACTTGTAAGAGTTAATAAGTTTAATTAATCTTAACTTTTAAGAGGATAGTGAATTAGGATTAATTTGGAAATATATACTTTATTTAATAATTTTTTAAATAATGATTTTATTATAAATTTAATAATAAAATTTATTGAAATAAAATTAAAAATAATTTACAACAGTTATAAGTAAAAAAAAAAAAAAAAAAAGCTTCCAGTTGCAGATAACGAATATAAGTTAAATTTTCAAATTATGAGTAATCTTTAATTTTACGCTTAATTGATTCACGTTTGGTGGTAGGTACAAGTTGGTTTTCCCGTTAAGGAGATGCATGCGTTTCAGAGGTATAATGAGTATGTGCCTTCTAGACCAGAGTTCAGAAAGAATACAAAGCATTGAATAAACTAAATAATTAAACTGTGAATAAATTATTGCAAGAAATAGTCAGAGGTTTATATTTATTTAATATTATTAGCTATAATACTTATATTAAATTTATGTTTATGAATGTTTTAACATATTTTTCTAGATGTTATATAATTATATATGCTATATTTTATTTTTATTATATACATAACATTTAACTGATGTAAGATAGAATGTAAAACGATTAACGATAACTTTTTTTTTTAAGATAGAATGTATTATCAGATTTTATTTGTGTAAAATCTACAATTTATAAATTTTATTAAATTTATATAAAATAAAAATTTTACAAGAGAAAGATGATATGTTAATCAAAATATTAAACTAATAAAATAAAAAGATTTGATTGTTTTAAAATATATGATATTAATATAATATTATCGTAGATTTGATTAAATTAATTTTAATTTGAAAATTCATTCAAAATATTTTATTTTAAAATATACTTAAGTATAAACACATAGAGTAAGTCAGAGAAAATGTAACTGAAGGTCAGGGCAAGAAAATAAACTTAATTTATAAAAAATAAGTTGGAGATTTAAAAAAGACATGATCATATTACTATTTTATACACACACATATATATATATATATATATATATATATATATATATATTAATAAAACTTAGATACTTACACGTTTGAAGGAAAAATATAAATTGATAAATTTAATTATTAAATATATCTTATATTAACTTCATGAATATATATATTAAATTTCACATAATTTAAATATTTGTAACTATTTTATGCAAATTTGAATATTTATTTATATCTTAAAAATATGATATTCATTAAAATAAAATAATCCGGCAAAGTATTTATTAATTTTATTTTTTATAAAATTTATAAAGTTCATTTATTTAATAAAAATCTCCAAATAATGATTAAAATGACTTTGTTAACATATTGTTGAGGGTGAAGTTTTTATTAAAAATAAAAAGATATTACAAAATTTATTATATTAACAATATTAATTATGTAAGTTTTAATAAATTTATATTTTTTTATTTCTAACATAGGCCTTTAAATTAATGTTAAAAAAACTATTATTAAAATTGTCAATGTGTTTACCTTTGTGTCATCAAAGATCAAATCAAGTTAGACATACGTATAGTTTGTATAAATATACCTTTACGGGTGATCAAACATTAAAATTAAATAAATTTTAATATCATATTAAAAATAAGTTAAACCTAACTGGTTGCATAAACTGACTTATCTATCTTATCTCATATTATTATATGTATATATGTATGTATTATTGTAGGAAACATATATAAAAATAACATTATTTTTAAAAAAAAAAATATTACTTTTTTGGTGAGTAAAACAGAGTCATGACTTATTATTTCTTTTAAATGAAAAAAAATTAAAGCACTATGTTTTTCAAAAACAAAAACAAACAAAAAAGAATTATTTTAAGAAAAAGATTATGTTAAAATATATTAAAGTTACTATTAATTTTAATACAAATTTTTAATTTTTTTAATTTGATTAGCATTTGCTTTAGTTAGATACTTGAGACCTAATCATAATCTTAAAAAAAGGGAAAATTGAATGACATGGAGAAACCGATATCTTTGAAAGCAGTGTTGGAACTCCTGTCTTCTTAACCCTCAACTACTTCAACACTACGCCTCGGGTCAAACTCAGTCCACTGCATCGCTAATTCCTTTGCTCCTTACTATGAAGAACTCCTCAGACTACCCCGTCGACATCTCGCCGGAGCCGAGGCCCGCCGAGAGCGACGCCGGTGGTGGGCCCAGGCCCATGATCAAGATCAACGTTTCTTATGGGTCCTCGCACCACGAGCTCCACCTCCCGGCCCAATCAACATTCGGTTAGGTTTCTTCTTTTTCAATCAATGGTACCTCTTCGATATTACTTATTCGCGAATTTAATAATTTCGAACTTTAGTTTTTATTGGACTTCAATATGTTGAGTTTCGTGTGCGCTATTAGTTATATGTGTGTTAAAAAGATATTGATGGAGATTAGAGAACTTGATTGAATTAAAATGTCATATTTTGGTTAGAGATTGAAAATACTTAGCTTTGTTGCACTTTGACATAGCTAGAGGGTCAGGTTTTTGTTTTTCTTTCTTTGATTTGGTGTCATGTTTTTTTGCTTTTTCGAAATATACTGAATTAAATTGATCTCCTATGATACGTTCAGTTAAAAAAAACCTAATTATTGGAAATGATTAATATATGACGTTAACCTTTTTCGCATAAAATTTTTCATTGTGTCTCTGATATTGATTGTATATTCTTCTAGAATATATTTGAGAAAGTTGGTGGTTGACCTTAGAGAGATGGCATATAATACAGAATATGGATAGAAAATTTTTTTAATAAAGAAAAGTGTGAATAATTTCCGATTGAAAAATTCTCCTCTAAAGTAAGCTTGTCTCAAAAGTGAGTAAGGATCTATCCACGCTTGAATTTTAGAGGGATAAGACCACAATGTTCTTTAAATTAAATCAAAGATTGACATACCGTTACTTGGGCACTAATGAGACAAACTCACCGTAGAGGAGCCTTATCATATTAGAAACTGGATAATGGAAAGGAAACACAGCAAAACATATTTACAGAAATACTTTTCCTCATAACAAATAGAAAGATAGTGGAAACTCTCAATAAAGTGAAAATGGGAAGATAGCTCAAGCTCAAGTCATTCAATAGATCTATGAAATCCAATCCCATCCCACACCTAGTTCTTACTTGTTTCTCTCCTTTCCACCCTTTCCTTTATATTGTACTCCTTCAAACTTATTCTGTCAATGATGTTTGTGTTTGTATTAATTGAGCCCCCAATAAAAGGGATGCTAAGAAATTGGTTTAGTGCCTGAGGAGCACTGAAAGGAAAAGGAAATAAAGGAAAATGTTTTTTTCCCTACATTATGATATTGATTGTTTCTGTTTTTGGATTATACTTAACGAAATTGGTGCATGTCTTAATAGTGTCACACAGTACTATTGGAATTGAATGTATCCTGTTTTCATTGATATGTTTATTTTTCTTCTTTGAGTTTTCGTTAACAGGGGATGTTAAGAAATTGCTTGTTGACAAAACTGGTTTAGAACCTGAAGAACAACGACTTTTCTTCAGGGGGATAGAAAAGGATGATAAAGAGCATTTGCACCTTGAAGGTGTGAAGGACAAGTCAAAGATTTTACTTTTGGAAGGCACTGCTAGCAAAGAGAGGAAACTTGAGGAAACCAGAAAACAAAATGAGATGTTTAAAGCTTCTGAGGCTATTGCTGGGGTCAGAGCTGAGGTGGACAAGCTCTCAAATAGGGTGATCATGGGTTTGATATACAAGTACTGTACTTGCTGTAGAACATATCAATTGGAGAATAAATATATGGATTGTTTTAATTTTTTAGGTGACTGCCTTGGAAGTGGCTATCAATGGTGGGAACAAAGCTTCCGAGAAAGAGTTTCTTGTGTTGACAGAGTTGCTTATGAGTCAATTGCTGAAACTGGATGGTATTGAGGCTGAAGGTGAAGCAAAGTTGCAGAGAAAAGCTGAGGTGGTATTTATGACATTAAAGTTGCAAAGTTGAAGTGTTAATTATTTGTCTGTTACTACTGTCTCTTTTTTCCCTTTTCATGCAAACTCTTATATTGTTTAGTTGTGACTGATAACATCCCTCAATTTTACTATATAATTATGAAGCATGCATGGAATTATGTGAAGTGGTTTTCACCAGCATGCATTGCACTTCAAGGTCACCGTTGAGATAAGTATCCATTGAAACAAACTATGTTGATAAAAGAAAACATGAGAAAGTAAGTTGAGTAAAGTCTTTACCCAAAAGAAGCCTTTCTATAAAACACTTATGTTACAACTTTGCAGAGAGCCGGTAACTAATAAAAATTATTAGTCAGCTTGATAGAATTGATGGTTCAAGTATTGATAGGGAAGAAGAAATGGACCAGGTTCTGACTCAGCAACCCATGTGGAAGGTTTACATTAGAACAAGAAATAGAAAGGGGACTTGGGTAGTTAGTTAAATGACATGAAAGAATTTTTAGAATTGGATAGGAAGTTCATGTAACAGGGAAGTTATATGGTTGGGGTGATGCATGATGTGTGGCATTCTCTAGCTGGGCATTCTTTGATGAGCTGTAACTGTTATTCGGCACTGCTAGAAAGATTGTTTTTGATTTCAACAGATACTCAGTAAGCAGAATTCTCATTCTGGATTCCTATCATAGCTACCACAAACAGTAAATAGAAATGGAAATTTTAAGGTGACGGTCAGCCATCAATGTGGAGTCTATGTCCCACCCTCATCCCAGGTGTTATTTTCTCCTATCAATCCCAAGTGTTCTTTGATTCATCTAGCATCTCCAAGATAATTACTAGCAGGTTTCTCTAATCCTTACCTCTCCAAACTAGCATCAAACATTTTTCTTCAACACTAGCCTCTCCAAGCTCAGCATCCAACATGGCAGGTTTGCATAAACTCAAGTTTTTTTCTATGCAGAATGGATAGGCCAATTTAAGCACACAACTCAAGAGTACAGGAGGATACTCAGCAAAGCACCCATATCTCTTGATTTGTTCCAATTTCTGTTCATTTTTTTCTTCTTGTAGTATGTTGGGGTAGCACACTAGCACCTATTGTAGAAAAATTGGTAGAAACTTGTCTTAGGGTTTTGAGCATGTGAGAAGAAAAATATAGAAATCCCAATAAGAAGTATAGATCAGATGAAGGGTAGCCTTATCGCAAAAGGTTGTGGTCAATGGTTTGTCTATAAACATGATTCACAATAGAATATTATGGTATTCTTTGATCCATGTAACCTAACCTACTTCGAGAAAAAACCCTTGGTTGTTTTTGTATTTTGAAATTTTTGCCATATCATCATATGCTCATCCTTTAATCTATTCATGTTAAGCATCTCTCTCTAATCGCTTACTGATGTCACATTAGTCATCCTCTTCCCACCTTTTGTCTGACCTAGATCCCACTTATTAATGTTTATACCACATTGGAGTATGACTAGCTAGTGTTATTGATGTGCATTGAGAGTTAAAACATGAAATATGTTATTTGTCAGTGTTAGTTTCATTATCAACTTCTTTCTTACTATTTTTTAAAAATTTTCTTGTAGTTAAGAGATGTATTTGTTTAGTGTTAAATATCGTCCTTTGCATTTGGGTAAATCATCTGTGATATCTCTTTGCATATTACTTCTTATTATTATGTGTGTGCTTGCAATTTGGTGACCGAAATATTGAACCAGCATTGCAATTATTGCCTTTGATGGACTGAAACAAGCTTTTCCACCATTCAATAGGTGCGTCGTGTGCAGAACCTTGTGGATACATTAGATTCTCTAAAGGCAAGAAACTCCAACCCTTTTAGCAACAGTAGCAATTCTGTCACAGTAACAACCCAATGGGAAACCTTTGACTCTGGAATGGAAAGCTCGGATGCCCCATCATCAACGTCGTCTTCAACTAAAATAACTCATGATTGGGAGCGGTTTGATTAGCTCAGAAATTGTTTTTGATCATTAAGTTATAAAAGCTTGTACAACACCATCTTATTGGGCATTCAATCTTTATCCTTTGTTCAAGTTCATTTTTATCAAGCTTGCCTTAGAGTTCTTGGCGCAACGACGTGATCGTTGCCTTGTGCACTTAGATTAGGTAGATAGAAATTTTAATTGCAGAAATATTCTTCCCGCTCAGAGGTAAGGTTGCATATGTTTAATCTTCCTCGTGCGCTTAGTTTAGGCAAAATATGTAAACTATATTGCATCCTAATACTTGAATAATATTTTTGCATCTTTGGATCGTTATTTTTCTATCATCTGGTTGTAAAGTAGTACACGATTTATGCTTTTATTGGAGATGTTCATTTGAACTTAATCTTTTTATTTCGTTTTCTCCATGAGTTGCACTGCCTCAAAATATACGTGTTCAACAACCGCCCACAGTACAGGAATAAACAATTTACTAAGTGTTTAGTTTAGATTAGTTTAAAGAAATAATGTCATATTTTTGTTAATTTTTTAACAGTGCTTTTAAAATTTAAGTAATTATCTTTCTAAATTAGTGTTTTTAAACATGCACTTGATAAGTTGTTTCGTTTAGTACGATGTCCTTTGAAAGCGTGGGACCATAGCTTTAAATTATAGTTGCTTGCGATCACTGCGATTACGGGCATAGTGGTTTGCAATGACTTTCTGGTTTGTTTCTGCCATTGTCACGTGAAAATGGATGTCAAAAGTAAGGTCCAAAGAGACTATGATAATCAAAGGTTTTTTAATTTCTTATTTTGTATGCCTTTTCCCCCTAAATTTTGAATGTATTTTGAGTATGCTATGTGTTGTAACGGTTATTCTATTCAAACATTTTATCGATTTTTTTGGAGTACATGATTATTCAATAATTGATGTGACATTCGATATTTGGTGAAATTGCATTGTCATTCAGTTTTCACCCTTCATTGTATTCACGGATCAGGATCTATTCATGTTTTGGCGCGAACATGAAGCGAAAAATTATTCATTTAAACGAAAATGTAGAAGTACAGAATATAAAAGTTATGTAACATGAGAATATCCTGATCCTTGGAACCACACCCTCCGCCCAAGTATAAGGTTTATAAACCAAAAAACAGGTAGAATGATACCCATTTCACTATGTTCAATATTTTCGTCTGATTCAATAGTAGGCATAATCAATAGCATTTTTTTTTTCTTTTTGTGTTAGGAGTATTTGTATCAATAGATATTGCTATATTTCAGTTTCTACGTGCGAATTAATTTATATTTTTTTTATAATCTTTTTTTTATAGAAATCAATATCCATAAAAATTATTGAAGAAATGTGTAAATAAAAAGACGGAGAAAATTAGTTTTTATGGTCAAATATTCAGATTGACTTAGCGTTTTTTTTTGTCAACGAGTCAAAAGCGTTGGATACGAAAACATTGATTGGGAGTACAACATAGATATTGCACATTCTATTTTTCTTCATTTTTGTAACATGAATATTTGTTTATCCCTGTGCGTCGAATTTTAAATTTTCAATCCTATATTCATTTTTGAAGAAAAGTTTCAATTTTCTATAGAAATAAATCTAGATTTTTGAAATGGAATAGTGGTGAACGCGTTTACATGTAAAGATAACCTTTGTAACATAAAATTGTTGACATTAAAGAAATTAAAGATTTATAAAATGGATCGAAATGGTTTAACAAATTACCATTGTTGTCAAGTTAAAGTAAAGGAATGATTGAGTCTAGCTACTTTAAACTTGCATTATTTGTGAAAAGATTTCGGCTCTAATTCTATAAATATTCTTTTGAATACTCTAATCAATTTATAATTAATTAATTTTTCATAAAGTTAAAACAGTTTCTGAAAAATGTTTAATTTATAAAATAAATATTTTGACTTTTTAAAAAATAGATTAACAAAAAATATGTTAAAAATGTTCAAAAGAGTGTATTAATATTTTTTTTTCATAACGTCATTACTACATATCTAATGCAAATATTTTTTATAAGAGATTGATTCTAATAAATAATTATTTTTTAAAAAGTCTCCTAAAAATCGATAAAAAAAAAAGTAATTATTTATAGCTCAAAGTAATATCAAACTTACATATGAGCATTGCATTTGTATTACACCATAACAATAGCACTATTCCAAACTATATCTAAATGACTCATACATTTATAGTTACACCCCTTGCACCACTAACAAAGGGTGATGAAGTTTTATCAACTTTTGATGATCCATGCTTAGTTGGGTCGTATTTTTCTCCATCACCCCAAAGGGCATAAGCTTCTTCGCCATGGACGGCATCGTCGCCGATCTCGAGTTGCTCCTCCGACATCCTCAAGGGTATGAACAGTTGTATGGCAAGAAGAATGAGGGTGGTGGAGACTAAGTTCCATCCAGTGATGAAAAATGCCCCTACCAATTGCTTAAAAAATTGCTCACCACCGTCACCACCATAGAAGGCACCCCTTGTGTTAGTCACTGGCAATAAGAGTGTACAAAGCTGTGGTTCTGCCAAGAGACCTGTGAGGAGGCCACCCAAAAGGCCAGCCACTGCATGTGTGTGAAACACTCCAAGTGTGTCATCTACCTGTGTGTTGTAAATTTCCAAAATGCTAAGCAAATCGATATTGACATAAGAGAATATCTTATGAAAGAAAAATGGAGTTAATTTTTTTATATTGGCACAGTTCTAATTTTTATGAACCAAATATGATGATTGTAATTATCTTCAAATGAAAGATGAAAATATTAATAACCAATAAATTTCTTGTACATTATATGGATATTTTTAAATTTAAATAAAATTTGATGCAAATAATAAATATTTTATTATATTAGTTAAAAATAAATTAAAGAGATAATACTTTTAAATTTGAGAACAATCATGAAAATAAACTATTAAAATTTAAAAATTAAATCCAAATTAACATTGATTAAAATTATAATAGGTTTAAAACAAACTAAATTAAAATTAAAATTGATATAGATTTAAGAAATTAAAATGAAAAAATATTTAATGCATGAAAATTATGTGATTTAAAATTTTAATACATTAAAAAAGGAGAACAAGTTAAAGTGACCATACAAAATCTCTAAAATCCATTTCATCAATGAAACATTTTGTGATAAACTTTCCCACAAAGAGGGAATAAGCTTGTGCATTGAATTTTAGTAAACAAAGTATCGTTACACTTGTAATTTTGAGTGTGTGATACATCAACCTCTTATGATACCATTTGACTTTTGTTGAAGGAATTTCGCGTATTCCAAAAAGGGGACTACAAAAGTTGTCATCAATAAAAAATTCATAAAATAGCTTGATGAGAATGTTTGAAGATTTTTTTATTTTTATTTTTTATGTTCAAGATATAGGAAAATTTATACCATTAACACTCAAAATCACGAGGGGTGTTTGGTGTATGCTTGTTTTTTTTTTTTTTTTTTTTTAAGTTTCTGAGAATTCCGCTGATAATGTTAAAATTACATTTGATATTTCTTAAATATTTTAAAAAATATTAAACAATAACTTCTGAAAACACTTTAATATTGTGTTCTATTTAAATATAATTTCTTAAAAATATTAACAGTTCTTTTAAAAATTAAAATTTCTGTTTAGGGTTTTCTTTTTCTTTTTCTAAAACAGAAGAACTAAACATACGGGATTTAGTTCACCGATCTTCTACGTTGTTTGATATCAAAAACCAAGCCTAATTCTTATCTTACGTGGGGGCAAGATGTGTAAATCAACGGATAACATGTGAACTTTTCATTTTCCTGTGCCAGCTTTCAAACATTATTGAATGAGAATTAATTGAAGCAAGCATAGCGAAAGCGATTCAAACCTAAGACACGCTTTAATATTTATTTTTATTATAGTTTTATTAAATTCTAAAAACTAAGATTAATATTTGTTCTAATTAATAAGCGAAATTTATGACCACCAACCCATTAATTTAAACCAAATAAAAAAGAGTATATTAAAATAAATAGCGGCGAGTTAATAATTTCAAAGATAATAAGATGTAAAAAGAAAAAAAGGGAAAATATGATAAGACATGCAATGTAAAACGAGGGAGGATGTAAAATAAAAAATATAATTAAAAAAATCAGAATTCTATTATAAATCTTTATACATGTAAATTGGAATGGTGAAAAAGTAGAGTGATTTTGAGAGAAAAAAGAAGAGAGTACCTTCTGAAGAAGGCTTAGCTTCTTGTGAAGGATCATCATGGACACCCATGGAATGCTTCCTGATAGGATTCCCATCACTATTGCAGCCCAAGATTGCACTAGCCCTTCAAGTTGCATCTATTAATGTCAACTAACAACTACCTACTACACTACAAATAACCATTATCACTCATGATAATTACACCACTTATAAGCATTTCTTTATCAAGAAAAATATTAATTAATGCCTGTTAAAGAATTAAAAATAAAAAATTAATTAACAAATGTTATTCAATATTTTTATAATTTTTAATGTATCTCAATATAATATGAGATGTGACATGCATGATATTATTATTAAGTGATCATAGATACTATTTTAAAAAGTTTTTAAGTGTGCAAAAAAACGAAAAGAGCAAATTGTTCAATTAAAAAAGTTTTAACAATGTTGTTTAATCTTTTGATAGTTTTTCATGAATTTTGGTTATAAGAACAAAACTGAACTGATTTGAAGAAAAACATACCAGCACCTGGGGTGATGCAAACAAGCCCAGTCATCATACCCTGAACAGCTCCAATTACTGAAGGCTTACTGAAAAATATGACATCAAGAGAGGTCCATACAAGAAGGCTAGTAGCAGCACATACATTAGTGTTGAGCACAGCAATAGAAGAGTCAATGTTTGCTGCATATGGTGCTCCACCATTGAACCCTGACCACCCCATCCACAACAAGCCAGCACCTGCAAGCATAAGCAGCACATTGTTTGGTGGGAACCTTTCCCTGTCACTCTTCTCCCTAGGCCCAACCTGTATAACCAAGTTTAGCTTTAGGAAATTTACCCAAATTCTGATCATAAGAGTAGTGCTATATGTCATAATAATAATAAAAAAATCAACTCACCTCATAAATTTAGATTTTATTCTCTAATATTTTTAAAAAATTAATTTGGTGCTGAAATTGTTATATACTACCAATTAATGCAGTCCATCAAATTACAAAAAACTACTTTAGTTTTTTCCTTTCAAAATCATCAATTAATCAGATTCTTCTGGCGTCACAAATCAAATTAACACTGGAAATCAAATTGACTAATAACTTTAAATAATTTTATTCATCAGTATTCTAAGGATACTTAAAAATATTTTTGTTTTGTTAAAATACATTAAAACTACAAAAAAATGATTCATTAATAATTTTTTTTACAGGACATTTTCATATTAAATTCCTTAATCAATATTCTTAAAGCACATGTTAATAGTTTATTTTGTAAAAGTAAGTGACAACTTTTTATAATGTGAAAAACTAACTTAATTGATAGTAATAATCTTCGAAACTAAATTGCTATTTTCCATATCTCAAACACAAATGTTTTACCCAGCAAAAACATAATTTTGACACAAATCTATAGGCATGGCAACTCAAATTTACAAAAATAAAAATTGACAAAATAACTGTTTGCTGCATGATTGTAAAGAAAAAAAAGGAGAGCAGGGGGGGGGGGAGGTGCTAAATTATATATATATATACCGACCCAGTAAGCAGCAGTGAAGCCAGCGATTCCAGAGGAAAGATGGATGACATAGCCACCGGAGTAATCAATAACACCCCAGTGATAGAGAAAGCCACCACCCCAAAGACTGAAGGCACCAACAGTGTAGGAAAAAATGAGCCAAAGAGGCACAAAAGCCATCCAAGCCTTTATGTTCATTCTACCAAGGACAGACCCAGCCAATAAAATCAGTGTAATAGCTGCAAAAGTGAATTGGAAATAAACAACTGAAGCCATCCCAAACAAGGGCTCCATTGTGGGACTTTCAATTGTACCATTGTGGTAGTAGTGGGTGCTTTCAGGGACTTTTGCTCGGTTTATGAGGAACTTTTGGCCTAGTGCTGGGGCACCCTTACCCCAAAAGGGTAAGAGTTTGTCCCCAAATGCCATTCGGTAACACAAAAGGACCCAACATAATAGCACAGCTGCAAAAGCATAAAGAGCCATAAAAGCTGAATTCACTGCCCATTTCTTCTTCACTATGCTTGCATAGAGAATCACTAGGCCTGGCATGCTTTGAAGACCCACTAGTGTTGCTGCTGTCATTTGCCATGCGTTGTCACCTTTGTTTAGCCAATAGGGTGATGCTGGAAGGTGCTCTTGGTATGCTGTGGGAGTGGCCATGGTTGATCCCTCTCTAGCTTAATTTTGGAATTGGCAAGGGAAGTCTCCCCAATTTATGGAACCAAACGTGTGCTTCTGTATCTTAATTGGAGTTGTTGAACTTCAATTTAGATTCCTGCTTTGAATCTTTCGAAGGTTCTGCTAGACTTTCATTGATTTTGATTTCTTTTTAATCATAATTTTAATTTTAATTTATGACTTTTTAAAATTTATTATTTTTGGTCTTCAATACTTATTAAATTATTATGCAATTAATTAATAAATTATTATATATTAATTTTTTATAAAAATTTGTTAATAAAAAAAGAGAAAAAGAGAGTTTAAAACAATTTAAAACTAAATATATTTAAAAATAAATGATTAATTAAAAATATATTTAAACTTTATAAATCTTTACCCAAAATAAATAAATAAATAAATATAGACTGCACCAATTTTTTTAAATAAAACTGATTGCTTAGAGCTAGTTCTATGCAATAATTGTTTCATTTAGAAATGAAAATGAATAAAGTTTAAGTAAAATATTACAGTATTTATTTTTATATTTGTGTTTTAATAAAGGGTTGATTTTGTTAAAAATTATTAAAAATATTTTTAATAATATTATAGTACCAGTTGATTCTGATGATATAATACTATATGTTCTTTATTATTTCATGAAAAATATATTTTAAATAATAAAATATAAATAACACTTATAGATATAAAGATTTACAAATAACAAATTATACTTTTTAAATTTTTTAATATAACAAATATATTTTTTAATAAAATCAACTTTTTTTTAAAATAGTTTAAGATTAACGCAGCTAATTGTATTATTATTTTCAATAAATTTAGCAGCAAAATAGAAAAAATTAAGATTTCACCGATAAAGATAACCTTGTATAACTTTGAATTTCGGGTCAAAAATGATGGTTATGTTGTTAGTTAAGAATAAAAATGATGGGTATGGTTTTAAAATAGAAAAAAAAACTTAAATAAATGTTTTAAGTATTTTTAGGGTTTTTATTTTAATTAAAATTTTACTTTAATAATATGTAATAAAAATTATTAAAAATAAATACACAATCATCTTCTCAATATCGTTCGTTTTCTTATTCATTTAAATACAAATTCTTAAATGAAGCTGTTTTTAAAAGTGTTTACATTTTATATTTATTTTAAATTGATAGTTATGATTATTTTAATATTTTAAAAATTAAATAACATTGGTATTTTTAAGATAAACTATTAATTTTTATTTATTATATATATTTAATATAATATCAACAGTAATAATTATTTTACTTGTAAAAAGGTATATAATATCTTTTTAATCTTCAAGACTTAAAATGTTAATTTTTTTCATTATACCAAATACTTTTTAATACTAATTTAATTAAAAATAATATAAAAATATTTTTAGCATTATAAATATGGACGGAACTTTAACAAGACAGGTAGTTTGACGGAAAAGTTGGCGTGAATGGCGGGTGAGCCTATAAGATAAGGACGATAAGGAATTTTTCATTTTAAAGATTATATATCGAAACTTAAATGCTTAATTATATGCACCATATATTATATGATACTTGGACCCGCATTTAATACTTGGTTTTCGTCCGTACAAGATATTTTATGCATACCTTCTTTATTCTGTACTTTCTGTTCAATTCTCACAAACGACAGTTCAAAGATTTTAGAAATTATAATTTATAAAAATATATTTATGCTCCACAAATGCTCAAATATTACGATTAGCATTTTAGTTTATTGAAGATTCATAAAAGTTATATACTAACTTTTTAAATATTTTTATTATATATTATTTTCTATGATAATAAAAATATTTCTTTTAACCATAATTTTTTAATTTAATTACTTTTTTACGTGTGTAATATTAGTTCTTAACTTTTTACAGTGTGTCCTTTTTTTATTTGAATAAGATATTTTAAAATTATTACAAATTTATGTATTTAAATAGTAAAAAAATAGTTTTAAAATATTACAAAATTTTAATTAAATAATTTTTATTAAATAATTTTTTTTAAATGACCTTAATTTTTAAAAAATTAAAAATTTCTTTATTACGCTTAACCTTTTTATAGTTATAATTTTATAACTCTTTTTATACTAACTCTCATTCTAAGTTTTTCTTATTATTACTTTTTTACTTTGTAGAATTTAGAATTCTTTATTCAAACACTAACTTTTTAAATGTTCAAATTAGGTCTGTTACTTTAAATTAATACTCATATTATATTTTATATGTATTATTTTAATATTTATATATTTTTTCTTTACTTCTATGTTTAAATCAATAAAATATCATACCTTTATTATATTTTTATTAATTATTAAATAAAATTTTACAGTGAAAGACTAATTTTGAATACTTAAAAAACTAGAAGAACTAAATGTGAGAAATTAAAAATAATAAGACCAAATTCACACGTACATTAAAGTATAGAGACCAAAAATTTGATTAAATTTATTTTTTTAACAATAATTAAAACTAATTAAATTTATGTTGATTTAAGTTTTTAAAAATGAATTAAAGTTTTTAAGAAATAATACATAATATTTATAATTAAAAAATGTGTACATACATGTTAAAAGATCTTATCATACATGTAAAATATAAAACTTAAAAAAATAATATTACATAACAGTATTATGTAATTTTACTAATTTAAATAGTAAGATTTATAAAATTTTAAATACAATTATTTTTAAATATAACAGTTAGTTTTTCTTCTTCCTCCTCTCTCCCTCGCTGGATTTAATGGTAAGTGTTGGACTCATCTTTCAAGTTTTGGTTCGTTTTACTGCAAATGCTCTAATAAGAGAGTTTGTGCCCCATTGTATTCATGTGCGCGTTGTTGCTATATAATGAGAATCAAATAAGGCCTATTGAAAAGAAAAACTTGAAAGCGTTAGAAGAGCCCATGACAAAGGCAAAGAGGATAAAAGAAAAACTAAAGATGGTTGTTATCCTATTTAAAAATAGACCTAATTTAGAGTTAAAAGAATCTAAAATAGTCAATTACACATGCTTAGAAAACTTAGACTCCAATGAATCCTATTATAATTTAATTATTATATTTAGTTTAATTATTTTAATATTATTCATTACATACTTTAAATTTTTATTTAAAATAGAAAACTTGTTTTATTTAATTTAGTTGGATTTAGGCTTGTTAGCACCTGAAGTCCATTAGAATTGTGTTTGTGTTGATTTATGAACATTAAACATATATAAACTCTCATAAATACTCTTTTAATTAATTTTAAATGCAATTTGAGATTAAAAACCTTTGTAAGAGCGTGTAATTCTAGATTTTTAAGTAGGTTAATTTTTCTTAATTTTATCAAGACTCAAAAGGCAAAAACTATTATGGTAATTGTTCTTTTAACTTATCAATCTTGTAATTATGGTGCTATCTTCCATATCTATTCTATTTTCACTTTTATTATTTTTATTTTTGTCTCAATTCCTACTTTTGTCCTATTAATTCTATTTTTTTGTGTGCAGTATAATTTAAGATTATTTAATTCAACAACCCAGATCATGATTGTCATTACTATAGTAGAGAGAGTTTTGAGTTCAACACCAACAATGTCCTAATCAACCACTAAACACTTTTAATTCTCATGTGGGCCCTCCTTAAATCTCACTGATTTAAAGATGCACAACAATTCATGAACACCAACATGCATATCACCCACTCTTTTATGTGGGATTCTCTCATCTAAAGTCTTTGTGTGAAGCACCAAGACCTTGAAAAGGCACTATTAGTTTTGAAATGTAGCATAAGGGACCATGTTGTATTACCCTCTTCCTTCAATTTCTGTTCCATTATTTACAAAGCAATTAAGGTGTTGGAGTTAATGGCTAAGAATGGTGTTAAGTACCCTTTTGATGATTTTGTGTATGATTACATGATTTATAGGTTTTCATGATTGGAAAATTGAAACTTGCTTTGGAGTTCTTCTATAATGCTAATGGTTCTAGCTTCTTCCACAATTTTGTTGGGTGCTCTTTGTAAACTCGGAAAGGTTGATAAAATGCATGATTTGGTTCAATAGATGGAGAGGGATGGGTTGAATTTGGATGTTGTTACGAAAGAGTGGAGCAACGGAGGAAGAGCAAAGGAGGGAGGTTAAGAGGTAAGAAAGAGAGAATGTAGTGGCAACAATGAGGCAACTTTGCATGTAATGGTAGATTCCAAGTTTATTTTCGCACAATTCCTTTTTTTCTTTCTTTTTCTCTTTCCATTATGATTGCATTCAAATTCAACTCTATCAAAGGTTGATTTTTATTTTTATTTCGTTATTCTTCACATTGTTGTTTGATCTCATGGCAAGTAATAATATTCATTCTAGTTATAAGAATTCAACCTTTTGTTGAATTGAAATGTAATAGGGGCCTAAACCCTAGAGTGTGCAAAGATAAAACTACTACATGTATTTTTATGGGTCTTAATATTGTTGATGTAGATAAGAAATTAAGTATTTTGGAGGCTAGCTTTGTTCTTAGTGCATTTGTTGAAAATGAAGACTAGAGAATGAATGTGATGAAAAAAATGTTATTTGTTAAAGTTGAGATTAAAAAGTTTAATTTGGTTGTAATATTTCAATATATTTTAATATTTTATTTAATGATCTTTTATGGTAGTTGTTTATTTCAAGAGCTAAAAATTTGAACTAGTGCAATGTATAAAATTGTGAGATTGTTTAAATTATAAAACTAATATGACTTTGGCTTATTAATGAAAGAAAGTTAGTGATTGGATTCTTGGATTGATTTATATTTGTTTTTGTTTAATTAAAATGTAAATAAAATAAAATAGTCACTTGTTCTAATTTTTCCTTAATGTATATTTAATGTCAATTGAAATATAAATAAAATATGGTCTTGCATATGAAATAATTAGTATAATATGAGGGCTACTTAGCTAATTATTTCAAAATAAGAGTTCGTTGCTCAATTGTCTAAATGAACCATTAATAGGTTA